GTAGTAGTAGTACTGGGGATTGAACACTGGGTCTTTGCAGTGACCTGTGTCCCCATTCCTTTTTTAGTTTTTTAAAAAAATTTTTAAGAACTTTATTTGGTACAGGGTCTCACTATGCAGCTTGGACTCAGAGTGATCCTCCTGTCTCAGCCTCTCTAGTGCTGGGATCGTAGGTGTGCGCCACCACACCTGGTTTCAGTGCCTGACTTGGCATGGGGCTGGCACAGCATGCAGTACTGGGGATCAAACTTGGGTTCTTGTGCTTGCCAGGCAGGCACTTAGACCTCTGAGCTATCTCCCCAGCCCTTTACCTTTTTTGTTTTTGCGGAACTGGGATTGAACTCAGACCCTTGCACTTGCCAGGTAAGCACTTATTCTACTGAGCCATCTCCCCGGCCCCTTTATTTTGTTTTTGAGAGGTGGTCTTGCTGACGTGTCCAGGCTGGGCTCTAATGTATAATCCTACCCCAGCCTCCAAGGGTGCTGGGATTACAGGTGTATATCATCCGTCATACCTGGCTTATGTGAATTTTAAAAGCAGATTTTAATTTTGGTTTAAATAGTGTTATTTATAGGCTTTAGGATTTCAGAAATTGTGTGCTGGTTTTTTTCTTTGTCATCTATATTATTGGTCAGAGTCATGGACTTGATGAAATAGCATCGGTTCACTAGCGATGTCTCTTAGGGTTTTCTGGAGTCAGCACTGAATAGTACAACAAACAAGTTTGCTTGTTTCTTTGGTTTTTTTTTTGTCAGAACCAGGGATTGAACTCAGGCCCTTGTGCTTGCCAGGGAAGCGCTTATTCTACTGAGCCATCTCCCCGGCCCCTATGCTTGTTTCTTTGGAGATAGGTCTGGCTGTGTAGTTTAGGCCTTGAACTCACAGTGTGGGCCAGGCTGGCACTGAACTCCGAGCAGTCCTGGCTCAGCTCCCCAGCACTGCGATTACAGGCGTGTGCTGCCACGCCCACTGTGAGAATGGGCTTTAGAAAAATGCTGTGCGAATTAAATTGTCTTTAGTGGTTCATAATGGTGGTCAATAATGATTGACATCTGCTCCATTTCTAAAAGGAGCTTCTTCCACCTGTCTCTGGGAAGCACCTGACTGTGTCGTCTTTCTCCACGACACCCCGGCTGTCCGCTGATGTGCTCTTCTCTTCCACAGCTCACCAGAACAAGCTGGAGGAGATGATCAATGAGCTGGCAGTGGCAATGACAGCTGTGAAGCACGAGCAGGAGTACATGGAGGTCCGGGAGAGGATACACAGAGCCAGTGAGTTCCTGCTGCGGCTGTGGTGCTGGTCCTGGGGAAGGTCCTGCAGCTGCCCCTGGCCTCCTCATTCACAGATTATGCAGACCGTCACTCTGGCTTTTTCGGGGGCGGGGAATGGGGTACTATGATCAAACCTAGGGCACTCTACTACTGAGCTACAGCCATAGCCCCTTAAAACTTTGAGAAAGGGTCTTGCTGAGTTGTGCAGGTTGGCCTTGAATTTTGGATCCTCCTGTGCCAAGCTTTCCGGTAGCTGGAATTACAGGCATGGGCTACCATACTTAGCACATACGGCGTTTTTTAGGTTATCTGGAGATCAAACTCGGGACCTTGTGCTTGCCAGGCTATCTCCTTGGCCCTATGACTTTATTATTATTATTTTTTTTTTTTTTAAATTTTTTTTTGCGGAATCAGGGATTGAACTCAGGCCCTTGCGATTGCCAGGGAAGTGCTTATTCCACTGAGCCATCTTCCCGGCCCCAATAGTTTTTTTTGTCTTTTTTTAAATGTATTTTGGTACAGGGTCTCACTACACAGCGCAGATTCTTAGTGATCTCCTGTTTTCAGCCTCCTTTTCTCTGGGATTATAGGCTTGCATCACCATACCTATCTCCTTGGCCAGCTCCGCATGCCTGGAGCAGCGCCAGTGCAGCCTGTGATGGCAGGGATCAAAACCCAGTCCCTGTGCTTGCCTAAGCAGGTGCTTAGTCTGCTGAGCTATCTTGCTGACCCTATTTTTTTTTTTTTTTTTGAGACAGAGTCTTACTGTGTAGTTTAGGCTGCCTTGAGCCCATTTTGTACCCCAGGCTGGTCTTGAACTCAGTCTTCCAGCCTTATCTCCTGAGTGCTGGGATTACAGCCATGCACCACCACACCTGGCCATAGTTTTCTTTCTTCTTTCTTTTTTTCCCCATAATTTTATTGAGAAACAAATAGCAATGAGACAGTTTCAAACCAAATTGGTAGGACAGATTCAATAATTAACACACTGCATACATTCTTCCTAGGGGTTAATTGCTGTACAAGATGCAGACATGATATCCTATTTACAACACCATTAGAACAAATCCCTCTATTCATTAAGAGAATGTAACTATATATCTATCCTAACCACTTTGAATACACAGGTACCAAATGGACATTCATCTGTATCCCCTTTTTTTAAACTTTATTTTATTTATTTATTTATTTTTTTAAATTTTATTTATTTGTTTATTTTGTGTGTGGCCAGCTCAGCCCACCAGGGGGCGGGGCTGGCTGGCATGTGGTGCTGGGGACTGAACCGCGGTCCCTGTGGTTTGCTTAGCTTAGCTTGTTCTAAGTAGGTGCTTTAGACCACTGAGCCATCTCACCAGCCCTGTATCCCCTTTTTTTGTTAAGTTGCGTTATTTGAATATTATAGGTGTGTAAACTCAGCCATAGTTTTCTTAAGGATAGGGGAAAAACATTGCAAAATGGGCTTTAAAACTGGCTTTAGTCACATACCTGAAATATTTTCCAGTGTGGTCAGTACTGCATACTGAGGTTTAACCTTTTTTTGCAGTAAAAAGCTCCAACTAGGTAGACTAGAAAACCTGAATGCAGGATGAGGAGGAGTTTGGCCTGCAGCTGCTTAGAATCTGGAATGCACTTTTCTGTGCAGACGGTGATGCTTAGTCTTGTGTAAGTTGCAAGTTGCATAGCACTGGGTAGAGCACTAAATAGTATACATTGGCCTTAAAGTAGGAGGTAACATGTTTGGTTTCTTCGTACTGGGAGTCAAACTCGGGCCCTTGTGCTTGCCAGGCAGGCCTTGTGTGCTGAGCTGTACTGCTGGTCCAGAGCTGCCGTATTGCCATGCAGACCACTTGCTGTATCTGAGGCCAGACTCATAACTGCTGCTCAGCGACTGATTCTCCCGGTAGCTCCTGTGTGTAGCTCTCACTGCGAGCCCAAGCCCTCATCTGTAGTGTAGAGTGATTCAGTCATGGGTCTCTGTTCTGAGTGGGGTGGGGAGCAGGTTGAGGGGTGCTAAAGAGATGAGCCTAGCTCAGACACCTGCGCATGGGGTCTCCTCCTCCTGAAGGAAGGAGCTGCAGGCCCCAGAGCAGCTTCCCTCCCCTGGGCAGGCAATGGAGATGCAGGAGGCTGCATAAGCCCCTGACTCGTCCTGGGGCAGAGCCCAGGCTGCCCTGCCTCCCCGCCACCCCACTTTGCTCCTCTGGGGTGGCCACCTCTTCCCCTTCTTCCTATGAGGAACCCCATTGTTGTTCACTTGCTCCCAAGGTAGAGCCAGCCCATTCTGGGGTGGGAAGCTGGGGGGGCTAAGGACGTCAGTGCTTGGTGGCTTTGCCAAGTGAGACCACAGGGCTGAAAGGCAGACAAGGCCTTGGGAACACAGGCCCACAGGAATACTGTCTTCCAGTCTGTAGGGCTGTCCAGCTTAATTTTCTTGCCCTCCGTGGAGATATTCTTTCTTTATTTCTTTCTTTATTTTTTGGGTAGAATTTTCAGATACTCAACTGAGTTTTAGTGATGCACTGGTTGTCACGGTGGATGTGTTCACATGCTGCCCACACCGTGCATGATGGTGAGACCCTGCATCCTGAAGTACTTTGATGTGGTCGTTTCTCAGGGCATACTCTTCTGTGAACAGCAAGAGGGCAGTGTTTTCCACTTTCTTAGTGGCTGCGCTCCTGTGCTGTGTTTCTGTGTGTTCTCATTACATGCATTTTTCTGTAGAGCAAGTAGAGTTTAGTATTTTTCACATTGCCAAATAACCATATGGCAAACTTCTGAGATAAGATACAGTGTCATGAGGAGGAAGAAAAAAGAGTGAACACATATTAAGGTTGAAAATTTGAGATAGACAGGAGCCAGCAAGATAGCTCAGCCAGTTAAGTGTCTGCTTAGGCAAATGTAGGGGCACGGTTCGATCCTTGGTCCTGCGTACCATGCTGGCCCTTCCCCTGGAGTGTGCAGAGCCGGCAACCAAGTGTAGTGGCACACTCCTGTAATCCCAAACCTGGGGAGGCTGAAAGCAGGAGGATCTCTATGAGTTGGAGCTGTGTAGTGAGACCCTGTGCCAAATACATAAAGTGGAGAAAAAGAAAGAAAATTTGAGAAATACAGAAAAGTATAGATAAAGCAATAAAAATTGTTCAGCCCATAACACCAGCATCAGGCGGCCGAAGGAGGAGGACTGTAAGCGCAAGTCCTGCCTGGGCCGCTTAGCAGGACTGTCAGAATAAAGAGCTGGGCGGATGTGGGCCGTGGTGGAGCGCTCCCCTAGTCCGTACTGAAGGCAACACTGTTCACTCATGTTTTTGAACTAGAGCGTGAACTCACGCCTTGACCCTGAGCTTAGTCCATGGGGTCACGGGTGTGTGCCATCACACCAGGTAGTTATTTATTTTTTTAATTTTTTATTTGTGTGTGTGTGTGTGTGTGTGTGTGTGGCCCGTTCAGTCCACCTAGGGGCGGGGCTGGCTGGCATGTGCTGGGGGATCGAACCACGGTCCCTGTGCTTTGCTAAGCTTGTTCTAAGTAGGTGCTTTAGACCACTGAGCCATCTCACCAGCCCCGAGTTTTTTTTTTGTTGTTGGTTTGTTTGTTTTAGCTTGTTTTTTAATTTTTAATTTTTTTATTTTCGGCAGAACTGGGCTTAAACTCAGGCCCTTGCACTTGCCAAGCAAGTGCTTATTCTACTGAGCTATCTGCCCAGCCCCTTTAATTTTTAAATCTTGTCTTGGAGGAGGGCTGATTCTATGGATTGGACCTACGGCCTTAACACTGAATTGTGTCCCCAGCTCCATCCATCCATCCATCCATCCATTGTGGTATTAGTGATTAATCCAAGTCTTGTCACTGTGCTCTCTCTATCTGTTTTTTTGTTTTTTCAAATTTTGAAGACTGGGCATGGTGGCACGTGCCTGTAATCCCAGCACTTGGGAGGCTGTAGACAGGAGAATCACTACAGTCTGATCTGGTAGTGAGACCCTGAGCACCCTGTAGACCCTTCTCCCCAAATACACTACACTACACTACACTACACTACACTACACTACACTATACTACACTACACTACACTACACTACACAACACACAATACAATACATTTTGATACAGGGTCTCACTAAGTTACCCTGGTGTGAGTTGAATTTGAGATTCTCCTGTCTCAGACTCCCAGAAGTGCTGGAATTACAGGTGTGTGCCACTATGTCCAGCTGGCTCGCTTTTTCCCTAGAAATAGGAATTTTGACATAAGTGAGTTAAACTATATGTACAGGACTGGGGAAATAGCT